CGCGGGCACGGTGGTGGGCTGCGAGGTGGTGCTCTTCGACCACTTGCTGTGGATGCTGGAGAACGCCGACCCCCAGCCCGAGTCACTGGACGAGTTGGTGGACTTCTATTCTTACTGATAGCGGCGGAAAAGACCCGAGTCACGACGACTCGTTCATCGACAGGTGTGCGAGGACTCGTGCAGCAGCGGCGTCTTGCATGGCTTTGCAGTCAAAGCTTCTGTCCGTGTGTAATAATAGCATTACATCTTCCTTTCTCGAGGGTTAAAAGCAATGCTTGAAGTATCCTACTGTACATTGTGATGTAAAGGATCGATCATTTCCTACTTGTTTTTGTCCTTATCATTCTCCTCTAAGTTTGTAAGCATCTAATAATTCTTTTATATATATATGGTTTGCAAAGATTCTCGAGTGACACTGTGAAGAAGAGAATATTGATGGCCACCTCGGAAGACAAGAGAAGCTTATGTTGCCAAAGCATCCACATCAACCAGCTGTGGATCATTACATGCATGAATGCATGGTTGGACCATCATCATTAATGGTATTTCACTGTGATGAAGTCTTGTCATTTTGTCTTGAGAACACGTCTGTGGTGATCCAAAACCACTCGTAGAGTTGTTTCTGCCGAGATTTATCCACAGGAAATCAGAGAATGCAACCCTATTCCTATTCTGTACTGTGAAATCGCCTTTGAGAGCTGGCATTGCACTGATAAAGAAGAGATCAAGAAAGTAAAGATCATGACATCAGGTCATATCAGGAGATCTGCAGCTTTAAAGTCGTCCTTCATGAGGAGGAGGAGGAGGAGAGTTGAGTTGAATCGTCTTCTTCCTGCAAGGATAAAGGCTCCCCCCATGTGCCATGCACCGCCATGGCCGGATAAACCGGACTCTCTGGCTTGGCTTCTAGCTGTCAGTCTTCTGGAGACTCCAGATGAAGCATCAGTCTGTCATCACTGAGCACCATTAGCTTGAGAGGCGAGCTGGAAATTTGCTTCTTATCATACCTGCAGCTAAAGACACCATTAAGCCATGGGAGACGCATGTGGCTTCTCTCTCTTGAGCCGCAAGTATTGAGGAGCTGTCGCATGCAGAGTTCGATTTGTTCTTGTTTTCTGTGATTAGCCTCTGTGAAGTGGATATCCATCGTTAGCCGCGGGTTTACTTGAAATCAATGAGAGAATCTACGATTCAGTTCCGAGATTTAGGACCAAACACAATTGGATTTACTCCCTGATATCCACAGGCCAGATGAAAGATAGATATGACGTTGTATCACACGGTTCTTCTACTGATCTCAGCATTAGAGGACTGGCCACATCACTAAAGATAGAAGTTGGATCTTTGTACCAAACTAGATTGTAGGGTTTATAGTACCAATCCTCCGTGAGTGCACACCTCACCATCCAAAAAGAAGCCAGAGAGAGAGAGAGAGAGCACATGGGTTGATGCTGCAGTGGGTCTGTGAGAAGCACATGGTATGTTTCATGATTCGTGTTGCTACCGATCAGAACTGGACAAAGACTCTTAGATCTCCCCCATGAATCTTAACCTGATCTCAGTTGTCTTACAGGATAACTGCATGAGAGAGAGAGAGAGAGAGAGAGAGAGATGTCTGTACTTGAAACTGAAACAGAGAGAGAGAGAGAGAGAGAGAGAGAGAGAGAGAGAGAGAAACACACACACACACACATACAGGAGTTTTCCTGTGTGCCTCTCACTAGCCAAAATCACATGATACAAAAACCAAAAGAAATGAACAACATAAAAAGCCTCAAATGGCATTTAAAACTCATCAAATTAGGAAGCTAACATATTGATATCTAAATTTCCTGTATATTTCTATCTGAAAATGTTGGTATCTAAATGTTCTTACAGCTTTACAGGAGAAAAAAGTGAGTTCTTGTGCTGTTCTTAGACCTCCGTAGCAGAGTTCTCACCTCAAGAAAGTTGTGATGGATGACTTCACAGATTCCTTCCTATCACTCCCACCATGGTCTCTTTGGGATGAAGCAGCTGTGTCCCAACAATAGCAAAGTCACAGATCTTGATGGTCTCTATGCACAACAAATATCCATATAGTGCATGTATGCAATATCTGACCTGTTTATACTTCAAATGATACTGAAAACAAATGCTGCAGGGTAACAAGGGGTTTCATGAGACACATCAACAGAGAACTTTTGAGTACAGGAACATTGGCAACCTCCAAAGGTATATATACTACCTGCTTGATAGTTTCTTTAAGCTGGTTCATGTCAGCACTTACCCCATGAGTTCAATGTGCATGTAAAACTGGAGGAGGAAAACTAGCTGCATAACCTGCATCACCATTATGTTGCTCTCAGAGGAGCTAAAGAAGAGGAAAAAAGATCCTGAAACCTTATGGCTTCTTCTTTTTCTAGTTTTCTTTCCCTTTTGGTGTGTTTATTTGTGCAGACTGATAAGGCATAGATGCTTGATGAAATCTTCGACAATGTATAAGTCCTTCAGCTGCAAGTCAAGATTAGCATTCATCGACAACAATTGACCATGACACTCGATTAAATTCTGCTCCAATTCTGATGTTTATTTCTCAGTCTTACTCGAAAGATTCTGAGCATGAGAGGAACGACATCTAAAACCGATATACCATACGACGACTTCTTCACCTATTTAATGATAGAAGATAAGATTTTCCTAACTATATGAGAAAATCTCTATATTCTGTATTGAAGCATTTTCAACTATTCAATAAAGCTTCATTCAATATTTGTTCTTATCTTTTATTCTATTATTTTTATCATTTAGTTTTCTGAATCACTCTCATTTGTCTGACCAAAAGTTATAATAAAAACTTCTCACGGCATCGAGACATGACATTATCTTCTCAAGGCTATAGCAAAAGTTATAATAAAAACTTCCTTTTAAGTACCGTAATTATTACTTCATTATATTCCTTTGTTGATGTATTTGCATCCGACGATTACTATGTAAGCACCATCTTCTGATCTTAAAATGAAGCTAGTCTCAAGCCAACCTTACCGTGACTTTGCATAAAAAGTATTGATGGGAGATGCACTAATTATCATCTAACAGATGAAAAAAAGAAGATAGGAGATTATTTATGTATCCATTTGCTTATATGAAAATTAGTAGGTAATAGTAAGCTTTCTTCTTATTATTTATGATTAAAAAAATAATCATAAATTTTTTTCTTACTATTTATTGACTATTAAAATAATAAATTTTTTTCTTATCATTTATGATCAGAGTAATCATAAGTTTCCTTATCTTTTACTATCATGTATAAAAACTCTCTTTAACATAAAAAAATGAGATTTTTTTTTCTTCTATTCGTATCTATACCCATATACTTTAGGTTACTAACTTGAGCGTTAGATGGATTAGATTATAAAACCTATTTGTTTTTACTTCATAAACACCTCAGATAAGCTTACATATATGAGTCTAAATTATATCGGGCTAATCAAGATGTCAATGATATTTTCTCTTAATAATTTTATCATAATTTAATTCTCTTTCAAGTTTAATTAGAAGTTTATGATTTATCGAGTGTCTGATCTTTACCGGAATAGTAGATAAATCATACTGGAATTTACAACAATGTACAAATAAATATATATTTATTCTTAACTCTCTCCCATCCAAACTCTGTAAAATTGTTTGATCTCGACTGCGAACTCAAAACAAACCCTTTTCGTTCAATTCTCAATCCAAATAATCCACCTTTCAGCAACCAAAAAAATAAAAGATGAAAATTAGATATCTGAATTAGAATGATTCAGTTCTAACTTGATTTATAGCTTCAAGCATTTAGAATTTGGCAAGAAGGTTCAGCTAATCATACAACTTGTTTGGAGATCCATGGGCGGATTCTTCCATTAGAATTTGGGTTCCGGCAAGAATAATATGTGATGCAAGTGATATAAGTTAAGATTTCCCCAACTATACGAGGAAATTTTTTTATTCTTTCCATCATGGTGTCAGAGCAGTGAGAAAAGTGAAACTACGCTCTTACCTTCGACCAGCGACCAACACTGTTAAGAAAAACAAAGCTTCGCCTTTACCTTCGGCCAGTGACCAACGCCACTGCAGCCAAATTCCTAAGAGGCTCCGCGACCAATCTTTATCTTTCTCATCGCGATAGCCTTCGTTGATCTGTCAACAGTCGACGGACTTAAAGAGAACGAATGACGAACTTAAGGGGAACGAAAGTAATACCTATGCCCTCACAACAACAGTAATCGCAGCAGCAGCGATTTGCTCTTGCTCTACTCACGACTCTCGCTTGAAAACGCATCGATCCAATATGCTCTTTTTTTTTTTTAAACAATATTTTTTATTTTAAATAATCCTTAATATTAGAATTTTAATCAATTATGTTTCCCTAATTAATTTTTTGTATTTATGAGTGTTAGATTGACACCTTCATGATTGACACATTCCATAAGATCAACTTGACTGAACTTGAACTTCGATGTCAATTCCTGAAGATCCAACTAGTTGGTCGATCCAAATTAACTTACCAAATTTGTTTTTCTTAATTTACCCGGACTTAATTTGGTAATTAACTTACCAAATTTGGAAGATCCAACTAGTTGGTCGATGTTCTTGTATTTCTTGTTGTCCCTTAAATTAGACTGCTGCTTTATCAGAGAATAAATATTATGATTTGCTATTACTTTTTTTCTGATTGAATTCAATCAGATTTTTCGTCACGTGTAACAGAATTTAGAGTATTGTGACTCGATTTGGATTGGACCCAAATCTCAAGTCAGTTGGCTCTGGTCGTCTTAGATAAGTCCGACCCGTTTGTCTTATAGTTTTGGGAACAGAGATTTATTCCGGATCCAGTAAACTGCTTAATGGACCGGGTACGTATTTTATCCCAATACCCTACGACACCAAACTCGAATTCGCCCCGCCAAAACGTGATCCGATAGCGTCAGATTCGGATTAGGATTACACGTCAATCCGAAAGAAAAAGAAAACGGAACGGGCGCCAGGTCGAAGCCTTCGACTCTCGGCTTCTTTCGCTAGTACACTAAGAGGCGCGATCCTGCCGCCGGCGCCTAGACGTTGTCATCGGCGTCGGGCTTCTCCCCGATCCTGCTCCTTCCGCTCCTCCTCATCTTTGCTCCAATCGCGCGCCTCTCTCGGCTTCGACGAGCGCGGGCAGTAGTGTGGGAGGCAATCTTTCGTCGCGATTCCCCTTCTGTCCCTCGCGATGGCGACGAGGTGTTTTACAACGCTGGGGCGCTTCTAGGGTTCTTATCTGGCCGGCGGAACCTGTGCTGGTGCATGTTGTGTTAGTCCGTGCCGTGCACGCAGATTGAAGAGGGAACAATCCCAATTTGAACTTGCCGTCGTAGAACCCTATTGGGAAAGGATCGATCTTGACTTACAAACAAAGCGAAATCAGTTGGTGCCATCTTAAAATTTTCTCCTCTAATTTACTTTCATGATGCCGTCTTTTCCCAATATTTCCACCTCCAAGGATCAGCAAGATGGCAGGAAGCTCGCCAATGGAGATTGTAAAAACCAACAAGTTCTAGCCAGGTAAGCAAGTCTTCTTCACTGCATTTTCGTCAAGGATCCCCTTGGAGTTCCCTATCGTTCTATTTTTTATTCCTTTAAGTTATTTACGCGCCTCCTTGGTCTGGATCTTAGGAGGCAGTTGATTTTACAGCACAGGAAGTCATTACCTATCGCATCAGGTATGTTCTTTATCACGAATTTTAATTTCGTCATTTTAGCTAGTATTTTTTTTAGATATGTGCAGGATTGATGACTCCTTTTCTCTTGGATATTAACTCTATTTTATTTTGTATTTCGTTTTAATGATTGGTGTTCTCAGTCGAGAGGAGACTTGTGGAGGAAGTGAGAAAAAATGACACTCTGATAATTGTTGGGGAGACCGGAAGCGGGAAGACTACTCGTGAGTTTTCTCTCCTCTTCTATTGTAGTGTTGCTACGATGTTTCTTATTTAGTTGATCACATCTTGATTACAATAATTTCTTTCTTTGTCATTGCAATTGACCGTGCCTTAACTGTTAGCATTTTTTTCATTCATTGGTCTTTGTTGCACAAGCCTAGCTTATGACATGAATATTTTAGTGCAAAATTTCATTCGTGGTTTTAAATGATGGAAAATGTCATAAAGGGATGGAGGAGAGTGAAAGATAGCAACATGTCAAAAACGGATGCTTGACTTTTGAATTTAGACTGTAATCTTCTCCCATTGTATTAACCTTGACAATTTTCCCCAAAAAGAAAAAAAGAACTCTTGAATCTTAATACCCTAAGCATGAGGCCGCTTTTGTTACATTGTAAAATCTTGAGGTCACCCCTGTGCAAATATCTTCTTTTTTCTTCATTTTTTTTCTTTACAGAATGCTCCTTGTGGGTACGTATCCTTCCTTTCATTTCCTCATGTTATTTCCGTCATTTATTTATTGAAAGAGATTGAAATATATTGAGACAATTTGGATTCTTAGTTATGCTATTGCTATTTTGCTTCATGAAAATTGATCTTTTGCATTCTGTTTTGCAGTATGTGTCCTTCTTGCTAACTTGTGCGCAAGAGTAAAAAACCATGCCTAAATCTAAGAGCATTTGGTCTCTCCATACCTTTTAGTTTCATTAAAATATGCCTCATATGAAAATAAATATGACAGCTAATGATTTAACTTTTAAGGATGATCAATTATCAATTAATATGCTAAAAATAATATTTCCAAATGACAGAATATGTTTATGTTTAATTCTGGATGAAACTTACATGCACAATAAATTTAAAGAGCTACATAAATATTAAACAGAAGTAAAGTTATTTTCTGGAGCATATGTTTAAATTCATAGTTTATTAATTAGGAGGAACATATGAGCTAGGCATCCTGAACAATCTCTGGTGGCATGATACCACTTGATTATGCAGAAGATGGTGCTTCCTACCTTGATATATATGTATTTATGTATGTATATAAACTATAAAGGCACTTCCTATGTTCACCTTCTTTAATGCTGTCTCTTACTCGAATCTTCAGCTGCATCTGCACTTTTAACTTGCTCTGGCAACTAAGAAATGATTAGTCCACAACAATATCTAAAGTTTACCTGATTGTCATGTTTTCAGTTTTCTTTTTATATTCATTTGCTTCTCCATTCTTCTTTCTTGTATAATCTTGATTTGTCCTCACTGCTTTCTGTGTTTAGCTGTAGTAGTCATGATCACTTCCATAATTCTTGCAGAATTACCCCAATTTTTGTGCAATGCTGGATTTTGCCGTGATGAGAAAATTATTGGAGTTACACAGCCTCGGCGGGTTGCTGCTGTTACTGTTGCAAAACGTGTAGCTGAAGAATGTAATGTCGAGTTAGGCCAAAAGGTTGGTTATTCCATTAGATTTGAGGATGCCACATCCAGCTCCACAAGGATAAAGTACATGACAGACGGTTTGCTTCTTAGGTAATTATATATCATGTTGCCTTATCTGGGACTTGAGCTGACTTCAGTTTTCGTCTTTTGTATTGTTCCATGCTATGACTTAATTTAGAGGCCAATTCTTTGCCTTGAAAAATTCTGTTAGTTGTGTACAACCATCATAAAGAAATCTATATGGGCTTTGGTGACACCCATATATGCTATAACTACAAAATGTTTCAAAGGTGATTTTACATACAATTTCTGACTTTTGAGTTTTGAGTATAGTAGAAGTCCTTCCATTAGTCGGTTATGGTCATTTTTGACTAGAGGCAATGATAAAGCTACATAGTACGTGAAAGTTATAAGTACCTTTGGGTTTTTCATAGATGTTATGATATTTTCCTCTACTCCATGATGACATTTGAATGTCACATAAGTACTTATCAAACAACATCCTTATGTTTGTCATAGGCATAATTTTAGATTTTGATACTGGACCCATACCAGTTGCTGAACAGACCTATGGGCCAACATGTGCCTACACATGTTAAGCCGGCATATTGGTTGGCACCTAAACTTAAACAATGATAATTTCAAATCAGACTGTAAGCCCGGTTTATTCAGTTTACTAGTTGGTAATCTGTGAACCCAACTGAACCACATGAAAAGCTCTGATCTGCATGCAGATTCAGCGTCAGATTGGCAAATACCACATGGTACTTGTGTTGGTGGTATTTCGAGCCATGGTCATGATCATGCCAATAAGTCTTAGTAAACAATATGCTCACCACAAGTAAAATCATGATCATGTAATAACATTTTCTTTTCCCGCTTTGTTTGTTTAAACTGTTTGTGCTGACAAATAGGGCTTTATGTATCTACAGGGAAGCACTGTTGGATCCATTGCTATCTAGATATAGCATCATCATTGTCGATGAAGCTCATGAAAGAACAGTCCATACAGATGTACTGCTGGGGTTGTTGAAGAAAGTGCAACTTGCAAGGTCTCATCCTACCACTAATCAGCATAATTTTATTAAGGCAAATGCCAAAGGAAGAGAGGATGAGTCCCGAAGCTTCAGTCCTCTTAAGGCTAGTGAAAGCGCAAAATCTACTTCCTTGAAGTTGATCATTATGTCTGCTAGTTTGGATGCAAGGTGTTTCTCTGAGTACTTTGGTGGTGCCAAAGCTGTTCATGTTCATGGGCGCCAGTATCCTGTGGAAGTACTTTATACTTACCAACCTGAACCAGATTATCTTGATGCTACCCTGATTACCATTTTCCAGGTAGATATTTTATGCTTCCACATAGCATAATTTTCTTTCTTAGTTTCTTTTCTCATCATGCTATTTCCTTGGACATACAATATATGAGACTTTGGACACCCAATTGCAACTTAACATTTGAACTTAAAGGCTGTGAGATTCTCCCATAGTTGATGCATGTAGAATTTTGGTTTTGCTACTTTGAAGTTTTGAGTTGAAAGTAACACTGTTTTGGCCCTTCAGCATTGCATATACCAATTTTAGCAATTCTCTGTATTAATAGATACATTTGGAGGAGGCCTCTGGCGACATTCTTGCATTTTTGACTGGGCAAGAGGAGATTGAATCAGTTGAAAGACTTGTCCATGATCGCATTCAGCAGCTACCTGATGGCAGTCAAAATCTCTTAACCGTCCCTATTTATGCGTCACTTCCCTCAGAGCAGCAAATGAATGCCTTCAAGCCTGCTCCATCTGGTTTTCGCAAGGTTATTTCGACAGTGTTCACTCTTTTGATTTCTGTGCTTCATCATGGTGCAGAGATCATGATATTATTCTTTTTTATTGAATTGTTTGCAAATATTATGCATTATGCAAATGATTAAACTATGAGTTGCCATCATAAAAATAACTATGAATCTTATTATAATACCGACTTTTCAATATTATTTTGGGTAGAATTCTTCCTCTAGTTTTTGTTTTTTATGCTTTCTGGTAGTTGCTCTCTGCTGTTGTTTTCTCTTTATGTGAATGAAGCTCTTAAAATTTTGAACTCTGTTGAAACCTACCTTTTTCTTATTACAAAAAAAAATGATGCTTAATTTAATGTTCGGGTAACAGGAGAACTAGGCAACTGCAGCCTTGTTGGCAGGATTACTAAATTGCAGTCTGAAACCATACTCCTAGTTTCTTACCTGACATTATACATGTTCAACATAAGAGCATCTACACCATAAATCTTGTTCCTTCTCCCATTTCAGTCATTAGCTGTAAAGGCTTGCTGCCCCCTGTAATATTCTGCTAGGTTTTGTTGCGGTGATGTGGTTATATAAGATCAATGTACTCTGAATCAAACTGTAAATAACATATAATTAACCAAACTATAGCAATTAGGACATAGCTAAAGATCCTTTAAGATTATTGTTACCATGGTATCTTGATATTGAGACTGCAACTCAGATCTTCTATTCATATTTAAAGTTCATTGATATTGAAATATCATTCTATGAGCAAAATATTCTGCTTATTCTTAAAGAGCATATTGTCTTTGTTCTGCAATTATTCAAGATTTGATGTGTTGTGGATAGTCAATGTAGTTTGAATTTTGAAATATATGACCTTTTCTGTCTCGTCTTATTCCTGCTGTTAAACTTCAATAAAAGCTCATTCTTTTCAAGAACAGATGGAACTGAAGTTGTTTTTGTTTTCCACTTTAGTCTGCCAGTAATGCTTTAGAAATAATCAAATGTTCCCATGCCTGTTGTAAGAGAAATAAATGCATGTTAAGGAAATAGCAATGACAGTCCTTTGATATAGTGGTAATGGTTATATTTTCTAATTATATCAGCACTAAAAAGAACAAAGGAGAGCATTTGAAATTGGCATATCTCTGTGGTACTCTATGATGTTAATATGCTACTGAGACTCTGAGAGTGCTGCCAAGTTTGGATCATGGAAGGACTGAGGCATTCTAATTTATGCAAATTGTCCATGGTTCCTGTGCATCAATGCTGCTACTGGACATATTATATTACTTTAAATTCCAGAAAGTAAGTATATTATGCAGGTTCATGATCTTGCATTTTGATGCAAATTCAGTACGGTAGTAGATGTGTTGTGTACCACATTTTTTTATAATAGATTAATTCATTCATCTGTATGTGATAAATAATGATCCAATCCCTTTAAATGATAAGTGTCTTAGTAATGTTCATATATAAAGTCTATCTCTCAGACCCAAAAATCTTGGCATGTGTGCATATATGTGCAGAAGCACACTGGACAAAGAGGATACATTTATAGCTGAGAATTAATGTCTTTGTAAGTGAAACACTGAAGAGGAGGAAAATAACCAATATACTTTATATTTCCATATATCTTGAATATGTAGCATTTTAAACATAAATAAAATATGATTTCTTGATTATTTCTTGATAAAATCATACTGCTACTTGTAACAATCAACACCCAAGAGGAAACATGCAAAGAGAGGAGGACAAGGACCAGTCTATATCTGCAGAGTGTATTTTCTTTACAGAAATGGAAGTAAAGAAAAATAGAACTTTTATTCCAGAAAAGAACTCCCTAAACTTTAGCAAATGAAAAGTTATTCTAGATTGTCATAATGGATTGCAACTTGCTGGTTTAGAATTTGTCTCTTGGTTTCTTGCTATTCTCCTTTTCCTTCTCAAATTATTTGTCTTTTACTGTCCTTAATCTCTTCCTTGCTCTCTCTTTCTGAATTAGATGACTTCCTATTTTATTCTTTTCTTAATACCTTCACTAAATGATTGACCGCTATATTGCTAGCTTGGATATTTTGTTGTTTAGAGAACATAAATCCCTGTATAGGAGGAGGTTAGTAGTTGATTTAAAACTTTGCTAAATTCCATCTTTCTACTGATCTACTTCCCTGGTCACATATGTCAATTTCTGACTTGACTTATTGTCCTTTATGTGATTAATTTTTGCTCATGAAATTTATGTATGTTCCTTGTATCGTACTTCTTTCGTGGTGGTATATGTGCCATACTGGTCACTTGCATCAAATTTAAGTTTCACTTATTGGCCTTTCATCCTAATGCTTTTTTTCCTCATGAACTATGTGCATATTTCTTGGATCATATTGCATGGACTTGATGCTGATGGTTACTTCATCCATGGGTTGCATTTGGTTATCCTGGTCACTTAGCATCAACTTTTATTTGTAGTCTCGGTAATGTATATTAATATTAAGGTATGATGATTATATATCGACATGATGCTCATCTTACTTTCTTCATGATCTGCATAGGTAATTCTAGCAACAAATATTGCTGAAACCTCTGTAACAATACCTGGTATCAAGTATGTTATAGATCCTGGACTGGTGAAAGCTCGGTCGTACAATCCAGTAACGGGTATGGAGTCATTGATTATCATTCCCACCTCAAAAGCGCAAGCACTTCAAAGAAGGTAATGATGTCCTGAAGTTGCATAAGGTTTCTGGGTAATTTGATCTTCAGATTAATCCGTTTGTCCTCTTTCATGGGGGACAGTAAAAGAAAAGAACATCTCATTTTTCTTCTAACATGTTCTTGATTGTCCTTGTTGATTCCTCTTATCAGTTTCAACAGGTGGAATAATTATGATCATTAACTCCTTGTATTGATGCAAGCCAACTCCTGATTTTGTAATCACATGTAGAATAACTTTGATCATGATTTTGGTTCTCCTTAGATGAGTGAAAATAGAGATTAATTAACATTAGCTGCTAGATCCTCAAAATATAGCTGTGGATTCTGTTGGCATTGTTAGATACTTTGACAGTCGAGTCCTGTTCTGGATTGTTTCTTCATGATTTTTCACACTGCTTGATCAGTTATATTTTCAACTACTACCAGAGTAGCAAAGACTACTCATTTGTGGCTAGAACTTGTCATCATGAATGGAACCCCCTGATAATGCTAGTTTGTAAAATCTCGTGGAATTTTAGAACTTGGAACTCAGAAAGAGAGACTTGATCATTCTTTCCAGTTGATTTTCTCCCTCAGCTATCACCATTTTGATTTTGAAGATACTTTTTACTAAAATGTCTTACACTGGAAAACTTTGTTAGCTATTTTTAACAATCAGATATATTGATATTTTTGTTTATCCTTTTATTCATGATGTTGCCAACTCAAGAAAGAATTTGTGAATTGCTTGCTTACTGCTACCGAGTGTTAATAGTTTTATGCATTGAATATTTTCAGATTACAGCCTTGGATGGAGTTGCAGTTTGTAATCTGCTATTATTTGGTACTGCTTGATGTAACAGAACTTTGTTCATGTCTGATGCAGTGGTCGTGCCGGACGGGAGGGACCTGGAAAATGCTTCCGGTTGTACCCAGAGAGTGAGTTTAGTAAACTTACAGATTCTACAGTTCCAGAGATTAAAAGATGCAACCTCTCAAATGTTGTTCTGCAGCTTAAAGCCCTTGGTATTGATGATATCATTGGGTTTGATTTCATGGAGAAACCTTCAAGGTAAACTTCAGGCTTAAATGCTAAATATCGTGCAAGGCATGACTTTCTGGAGAGTGAGAAAAGTTGAGTAAGGGGTTCCTCATGTTTGAAAGCTGGGAGAATCATTTTCAGTGATAAGTTCTCTAGTGAATAATGTATAATACAAGAATAAATGTTTACTCTTTTTGCTCTGAAATGGTTGGTGCTTATGTTTGTGAGCTTGAACTTATTTTTTATCTTTATCTTACATTTAGCTGGCTTTGGTATGACCTTTTGAGTTTGATTTTTTATTTTTCTCCATATCTTTGATCTGTCTGACGTTAATAAGCCAATAACATAAGCAGCATTTCTATATAATTAACCAATCAAGTTGCCTTCATGAAGCAGCTTTCTCATAATCATGTTGCAACTGATATCAAGTCGTTTATTGTGCAAGCTTGAAAGTTGTATCTTGAGCTTCACAGTTTTCTTTGTATGTATCATTTTATGCTGTATATTTATAGGTTTTGTTGGAAGCTGCTGTTCTTTGTATAGTTTTGCATTGGATACTTTAGCATAATTCATGTTAAATTCTACCCTTGTAAAACCTTTTTTTACAATTTTTGATAGGATGGCTATAGTGAAATCTTTGGAGCAGTTGTTCCTGCTTGGGGCTTTGAGTGATGATTACAAACTCTCAAGTCCAGTTGGGCAGCAGATGGCACGGCTTCCTTTGGACCCTATGTACTCAAAGGCACTTATCTTGGCTAAAGAGTTCAAGTGCTTGGAAGAAATGTTGATTGTTGTTGCTATGCTCTCTGTGGAGTCTATATTTTACTTTCCTCGTGAAAAAATGGAAGAGGTAAAAATTTTGTGGGGTTAATTACATATGGGCCCATTTGTGTTAGCTTATTTATTGTTTGATCCTTGCCTTATTGCTATTTGCATACTAATACTATCTTTTCTTTTTATTTCAATCCTTGTCATATACCCCTGTATGGTCTTTTGACAGGTTATAATCTGACCTACTACTTCAGCCTAGCTAGATATATGAAATGACACACCATTATGGCATTACCCTTAGTTGATGAATCTGTGACTATTGAAACATTTCTTTATTATGTTTGATAAAGTTAATTTTCTTGTCATAGATTAAATTTTTATTTCTGATATCGAAAATGAGAGGTTAGTCTTGTGGGCTTAAAAAATGATAAACGAATATTAAATTTCTCAAATACTTGTATTCTGTGTACGTCCCTTTACCATAGGGGCTTGTATGTAATAAATTTAAAAATAGTGGTGTCTGGTTCTAGATGATGATAAGCTGAGTGTTGTTTAGTAATTGGCCCAAATTGCAAGGCTTATATGCAAGTAATTTACATTCTTATCATTAATGTGTAATAACTAGGAGCCTATATTCATGAATACTCTATCTTTGAAGTCATTACATATTTTTTCAGGTCATAATATAATTGTGTAGTCTTGAATCTTAGTAACTTTCAGAATCAGTGTAGTCAAAAGCTCCCGAATGTTACAATTTAAAAATTATTTATCATAATTAATAAAAATAAATAGTTGCTGTTAATTAATATAAACAGGACTGCTCAAGCCCCACTAGAGTGCTCCCAGGTCAACGTAACCTATAAGGCAACTGCTGTTCTGACAAACTTAGGCAAACAGCATAGCAGGCAGCTGTTCTCACAAACTTGGACAAAAATAATCAACTTGATTTATCTAAAACTTGAAAGATACCTTTGAACGGGGCGGGGCTGTAGTGAACGGGGCAGAGGTAGGAGGTATGAGGTAGGAGGGAGGAGGAGAAAGAGAGAGGTATACCGGGAGGGAGGGGAAGAAGCTGCTGCCGTTGCAGCCAGTGGAAGACATCACCTCTACCGTCAGAGGAAGATGTTGCCGCTATCATTGGAGGAAGACACCGAGGAAGAAATCGCCGCTACTGCTGGACAAAGATGCCATCAGGGAAGAAGGTTGCTGTCATCGTTCGCTGATGGGAGAATCCTTGCCACCGTGTAGAAACACAGTGGGAAAGAGGGCTTCTGCGTTAGGGTTCTTCCTCGTGCATGGTTTTTGGCTTTCGACGACAGATAACTGGTTCAATCGAACCAGTTGTCTTGTGTTTGGTTCGACTTAGGCTTGATGGACAACTGGTTCAATCGAACTACATAGGATTGTTTGGTTCGACTCGGTTTTGACTTGGCCTGAGTTGAAGCAAGCGGGCGCTCGACCGGCCTAGCGCCTTGGGCCACACCTGAGTGAAGACACCCGCCCAGCCTAATAGGCCGGCGCTCATGCCTCACCTCACTCAAGCGCCCAGGCGAGTGCTCGGGCGCCTAGTGATTTCACTATTCATAATAACTACTGATATTCAATGTTGGATTAAAGAAGATCAATAATTTTGGCATGGCAGTTCCATCTTGTGGGTCTTGTACAGGGATGAATTTCAAGATATTGGTATGTGTATTTTGTATATCCATTGTATCCATCATGGCCTTCCCTTATGCTGGGTTGTTTTAAAATTATAAATAAGTTATTTTGTATAAACAACTTGAGATAAAAAAAAGAGTTACTAGAAACTATAAATAAGGATTTAAGTGCTTTTAATTTAACTAAAGATATTATTTTTTACAAAGGTCAATGGCGACAAAATAACCATGAAGTCCATCCCAAGTTGTTGGGACATTACGACTCATTGCTATTGAAAAAAAATATCTTCTTCGAATCTTGTTAGGAAACCTAGGTAGTTATGTGTTTATTATTTGAACCATGTTCTGGTATATGTTTTCTTTCATTAATCGCACTCTGCTTTGTACATGAGAGAGTTATCTGTTGTCCATGATCTGATGCTTGATATCTATTTTGTGACAAGTCACTTTTGGATGGCTAGCTTATTACCCATCATCTCTTCTTTAGAATTGCAATCTTATAAATAAATTTTAAACCTCTTAAATTTAACATATTGTTAGTAAGATGCTATGTGTAGGCTTTATTGTGTCAGACTTTTTCAGATTGCTATATGTAAACAACTGATGTTAATATAATTATTATCAATGAACTTTTTCTTTTGCTTGTGTGGCATGTGGTAAGTTACTGCTAAAGAATAGTCTGCTGTACTAAATCTTCTGGTACTTGGGTTAAAGCCTTGGAACTTTCACAAGATGAACAGTGTTTCAATTTTTATTCCCTTAGGCAAGAGCTGCTAGAAAGAGTTTTTCAAGCCCTGAAGGAGACCATATAACTTTGGTGAATGTATATCGCGCATCTGCAGAATGCTTGGAGAAGAGCAAAACCACAAATAGCAAAGAGAAAACAATGGAGAAAAAGTTGAATAAATGGTGCAGAGAGAACTTTATCAATTATCGGTCTCTAAGACATGCGCGAGACATTCATAGGTTGGTCACCTCATTAAAAAAACTAAAATTTATTACAATTTACCTTTTGATGCAAGTTAATTCACAGTTTGTGTTATGCTGCAAGGATTCATAATTGTTGATGCAAGTATGAAAATTTTCCTGATAGGAAATATTATTTTCACTTTTTTTATTATTGTTGCTTTCTGAAATTTGTTATTGCAGTCAAATCGAAGGTCATATCCGGCAGATGGGTTTCTCTCCATCATCATGTGGTGATGATATGCTTCAGTTCCGCAGGTGTCTTACAGCCTCATTTTTCCTTAATGCAGCAATGAAGCAACCAGATGGATCATACAGGTCAGAAGCCACACTTCTGCTACAACATGAACAAGTTTGAAATGGACACCAATATAGTAACTTAATGACTGGAATAACCTAGGACACAATTGCATATCTCATTTTCATATTCTTCATTTACTTAAAGAAGTCGCATTTCAGTCTGCCTACTCATTAACTACTGTCATTAATCCTCTGAAGATCATTTTTTTTCTCTGATTGTTAGTTATAAGAAGGCATCCTTTAACACCAATTCCTTTGTCAAGATTGGATTTGTGTGTGTATATATATATATATAGTGGTCCTAATGTTATTAACCAATTTTCTCTGAGAATATATTCAGCATTTTAACATCTATGGCCACTCTTCTGTCAAGTTATGATTCACTTTCTAACACATTGTTGCTTATGGCAGAGCTTTATCTAGTAGTCAGACCGTTCAGGTACACCCTTCGTCGGTGTTGTTTCGTACAAAGGCAGACTGCATCATCTTCAACGAGCTGGTTCGAACAAACCAAAACTATGTTCGCAACGTGACTCGAGTGGATCCATTATGGTTGCCAGAGCTAGCTCCACAATATTACGCTGCCGATAGTTAGCTGTGTTTTCTCTGCTTGCTGCTGGTCCTTCTACCTCAGGATCCAGACTCCTCTCATCACTTGCAAGCTTCTTCACTTGCACATCCTACACTGCAAGGCTTGGAGCTTCTTCACAAGGGTCTTCGAAGGATATTTTTCCTACCCTTGGATAATTTTTCTCTTTTACTTTAATGTATCAAACAAAGAAGCTTCTTCTCTTGGTAGCTGTTTTAGTTTATGTATCATTTGCTCTAAATCTGTTTTAGTTTATGTATCATTAGCTCTAAATCTGTTTTAGTTTGTGATAAGGTTTCATCACCCATCGATTAATGGCTCCTATATGTTGTTATTGTTTTCAAGGGAAAATTCTCCTATTTATTATTCTTAAATCCTGATATCATTTGTTTGTATCAATCAACTTATGAATTGTGATCAGCAAAATTGACAATGATTTATATTCCTGGAAGATGTCTAAATGAGGTGAACGAAAAATTCAAACCTAAAACCTTAAATTTCATTACTTACAAACTATATTTAGATACTATTATTTATTTTATCCTATTTTATTGATCGTCCAGAGAGATATGATTTTAAATTTTTTTAAAGATAAATAATAAGATAATTCCCAAGAATAATAAATCATAAATGTAATTTATATTTATATTTGCTCATAAAACGATGAACATTTTATTTCGTGGACGAAATCATCCACAAGCAAACGTTTATTATTCCAAAATAATTAACGAGTTTATTTTCTAGTTTTGGTTTGGATCAAAAACGTTCTATCGAACACATTGGGGACGACGACGTTATCCTCCCCGCAACCCTTTTGTGTCGGCGCCCCTTTTCCTTTTCAAAAGTAGGCCTTTCTTTTGGTGTGCGTTTAATCCTCACCACGCAAACGCTCCCACACTCTCGACGAATTTTATAGACTAGTGTACCCGGTCATGATTGGATGACTGAATGGGTCCCACCGTCGGTCCCACTCGCACACCGAGAGCAAGAGGAGGACAAGGATGGTGCGGATTGACGGAGGAACAGCCAAATAATGAGGTCGGCCCGACCGCTCGTTTTCGCACCCACCAACGTCGCCCGCTAGCCGCAGAGCGACGGACGATCGCAACTCGTTCGACAAAATTCCTTGGAAGGAGGACGGGATAAATGAGAATAGGGAAGCCAAAAAGAGAATGATTTGGTGGGATTTATTCTATTCCGAACCCATTCGAATTAGAATCACGTCGCGAGACGAAAGAGAGAGAGAGAGAGAGAGAGAGAGGAGATGATGACACCTCCCCGGAATTCCCTTCCTTTTTCTCCGACCTTTTCTTGATTTCTTCGTTTTCTTTTATTGTTTGTTTTCGGAGGAGAATGAGGGCTCCGAGTTGATCTGCTTTTGTATCTTCTCCACTCCCTGATGCGTTCCCTTGATTTCTAGCTTGTGCCAGGCGCCCCCGCAGGGCTGCCGCATTGTTTGGATCTTGGAATGCTATGGCATCCTTGAGATCCTCGCTTCTGATCCGAATTGGCACAAAGATGTGCGTTTTTGCGATTAGGTGATTCTTTCTTGTTCATTCATTTCCACATCGTCGACTCGCACGTTGCTGCTAACATCTTCTTCGCTTCCTCGGTGCTTTGTTCTCATTGGTATACTTTGTAGGATTCGTACGTTGTTATCTGATTCAAAAAAGGTTAAGGTTCCGTGGTAAGTGATAAGGTCTGATTCTTTTGTACTTTTCCTGCTTCTGGGATGTGGGAATCGGCATGTTAAAGCGAGAAGGCCCGCGATCGTGCTCTTATTTTCTCCAGACCCGTTGGAGCGATCGCGCTTCCCCTATGGCTTTGTATAAGCATCTCCTGTCGACGAGTTTCTATGGGTTTAGCCACATGAGCGAGGCTAATCAGCAGGGCAGACGTCATAGGAGTATCTTGGTTCGCATGGACATGGGTTCCCAAGTCGGTTCCGTCAACGCCTTGGGCTTGAAGAGCTGCTTGGACCGTCATGACGGTGTTTTTAGAAAGGCAGATGGCGAAATCCAAAGGGCTCATTGTGTGGCACCGCACCACCATTTGGTTCAAGGTTCTGATTTCGTTCTTTCGGAGGATGTGGGGTTGAAGTTGGCAAATGAAGGTGGATCATACAAACATGGATTTCCTATAGGATTTCCATCCTATCCGGTGACCGAGAAATTGGTTGTTGCTGTTGATGTAGATGAAGGTAATTTTTCTGTAAGCCCATAGCATCCTCCTGCTTTGTTTACTATGTATAAGTGGCCTTATTTCAGTTTATAGTTGTCTTCCATGCAAGTTGGAATCCCCTTAAATCTTAGATATATGCTTTTGTTGGTGATCTCTTTTAGCATCTTTTTAGTAGTTTTGCCTGTTAAACATTGGAAGTAGCACCTCAGTATGTGGTCCCTTATGTGGAGCTTGTGCTGATCATGCTGTGCATGTGCATCTTCTTTCTTTTGCTAGTTCCGCTTTTTGACCACAGATCTTGCAGATAGTTGCTAGGAAGGAATTGATGTTTTGCAATGAACAGGATTGGTACTTCTAGGACAACATGTTCTTACATAATTGCAGTAGCACTATCGATTTGGGATGAGTTGTCCAGCTTTGTCTATGTCTTCCCATTCTGAATTCTTTCTCGATGTCCATCCTACCCTAGGAGCATAAGGTTCAAGATTGCTTGTGAACCACAAGATTCTTCATGTGATCAGCCTTGTGAAGAGTATTAAGACTCTTTTGTTGATTGGTTTAGTTTTATGTTTGCTCGATATTGATTTTGTCAGATATTATATTAGTTTCTTATTTGGAGATCAACTGCAACATCACTACTAAAAATAGAACTTTCATAGGAGGAAATGAGAGAATTGGGTCTTAACATGTCGCTTAAGAAGTTTTATGGTTGGGTTCCTTTCTGCTTATGTTCAAATATTGATTTGGTATTTAAACATGACCTTTTCTTGCAACTTGAGCACCATTTGGTTTATTTGGGAAATCTTAGGTCACCATTTGGTTTATTTAGAAATTCTTAATCATATTCTAGAAGGAGGCACTGCTGCTGCCTCCTCTGCAACTTTTTCCATCGATATGGAAATCTATATATAACATTTGAAATCGAGAGGGTTTTATGAGATATTCATACTTTTATTAGAAATGTCCAAACTTAGTCCCAGTCCACAGCCAAGATTCTTCAAGGCCTAAAAGGTAGGTGGTAGTTATAACAATCCTGCCAATTGGTTGACTTTTAAATTTATGCATATTGATCTGAGAGATATTTTGCATGCCAATTGGGGAACCAATTTGTCTTTCGACATCCCCTAGAAATTATGTCTTCCATGTTTCAACTTGTCCTTTGTCTGATATTTGTTTCTTATAACACATAAATTTGGAGTCCTCTTAATATTAGATAGATACTGTAGTTGGTGCTTTCTTTTACTTCTTCTCAGTTGTGTAATCTTTTTGAGCAATTTATGTAGTATCTTTCCTGGGTTGAAAAGATGCATCTTCTTTCCATATTCTTCTCATTTTAGTAACCATGGATTTTGTATGAAGTTGTTAAAAAGGAATTGATTCTTTGCAATAAAAAAGAAACGTGATACAATCTGTTCATTTAATGACTTGGAAATAAGTTTTCTTATTATTTTTCACTGATGCTATCAACTTTGAATTTGAATTTCCACTGTCTCAACATCCAACACTAATTTTTTCTGCACTTGTTTCTTTTGGGGTATCCAGAAAAGAAGATCATTTGTCACATCTCTACATTGTAGATTCATTGTCAGTTAGACCACTAGGCTTATTCAAAAAACTTATGCATATTCTATATGGAGCCACTGCATTTTTGCCTTCTTCCACCAATATTGGATGATTATAGATCATAGCACAGAAAGGCCCCAAAGAAGATATTATAAAATTTTGAAGTTTGACGCTCATACTTGGTTTCTCATTTGAGGAGGAAAACAGCAACATATCAGGCATATTATAACTGTGTAACTGTCAACAATAGAGTATGCACCAAACTCTTTGGATGTATTTGAAACTTAAGTTTTGAAGGTGGTTAATATTGATCTCTTTAAGTTCGCTGGACGCTGCTTGTTTTCCAATTTTCTTATTTTCACTTGCTAAGATTGCCTAGAAAAGTCTATTCTTGTAAAGAAATTTTGTTGGAAAGTGGAAAATCCTTTAGTTGGCCATGGTGACAACAATAACTGGCAGCTATAATATATATTTTTACCAGCTGTAATGGGATGACAATAATTTTAATTAACTGTGTTATAATTTTAATACCTGATGTTTGATTTACAGGTTGAAGCCTTGAGACATTTTTTTATCTTGTTGTGCATCCTTTTTTATTTTTGCCTTGTGTTTTCTCTCTCTCTCTATCCTCTATATATGCGTGTGTGTGTGTAACTAATTTTCTTAGTCAGACTTTTCTATTCAATGTCTGCTTCTTTGTTCCATGAAGCCATAACCATTTTTTGAGTCTTCATTTTCGGAATTGCCATATTCTCCATCGGATAAGTACTGCCTTGCATGAGCATGTCTTTTAGCTAAGATTACTTGAGCATATACTCTCTCTGAAACAAGAAAGGATTATTGTCATCATTTGCCATGTAACATGCTTCTATACCATGGACGCAATCTTGCTCTACTACTGTGGGTATAACCATATTGTATACCGTAGTGCACTTCACATTGCATCTAGTTTGTTGATGTTCTCTTTTTCCTGAATTTTCAGTGCTTGGAAGCTTTCTCGCAGCTCTGAACAAATTTGTTGCTAATCGATACTCCTCCAATCATTCTGTATCAGAGTATTATGTGTATGAGTTTTTCAAGGTAGCGTATGATTTTTTGATTGAGCTGATTTCATGGAAGCTTATATGTAGTTGCTTCATGTGAGAAGATCTAGTTTCTTTTCTTTTAACATTTTCATTTGTATAACTCAAATCTTATTGTTATGTAACTCAATCAACAGATCTGGAAATGTTCTCGAGCTGAAGGTATCGTGGAAGACATTCTTCACTTTATCATCATTTATTTTGCATATTCATTCTATTGTATTTGATTTTTAACTGGAGCTGTTTGATTATACTACTACATAGAATTGAACATTAGTTTCTCTATTTTGCAATGCATCATATTTTTCTCCTTGGTTTTGTGTCATAGCTGATATCCGTGTTCATGAGTTCTTCAAAACTTCGTACTTCAAAACGGGCATTCATCCCATCCCTGGTGCTCGATATGCTCTCCATAAATTGTCGACTTTTTGCAACCTATCTGTGGTGACGTGAGTATTCTCAATTTGTAACTCTTGCTTAGATCTTTTTAACTGCATTTCCTATTAACTTGTCCTCTTTGAATAGATCTCGACAGAATGCTATCAAGGATCACACACTTGAGTGGATAGAGAAGTACTATCCTGGCTTGTTTAAGGAGATTCACTTTGGCAACCATTTTGCACTAGATGGAATATCAAGGCCGAAATCCGAGATTTGCAGGTTGCCACATTATCAAGTTTAATGTTTGTTGCAGTTTGAAGATCTCTCATGTTGCTTAATATCTAGTTAGTAACTTTTGAATTTTTGAACTTTGAAATGGACAAAAGCTGGAGGTATCATAAATATTTCACTATCTAGCAATAAGATGCCCAATTTACAATGCAGCTTTTGCATGTGAATGGTAGAGGCATAAGTAATGAAATGATAATATTTAAGAAAATAAGTCTAGTTCGGGGTGAAGGGAGAGATCAATTTATAGAGAACAATGAAGGTGCTTGGAGGTTGAAGGATGGGCAAGAGATTGGCCGATATAGTGTTAAGAGATCATCAATTGGAAAATGATGCACCTAAGGTAATTTATGATAGATGCAGTAATAAGAAACTGAATAGAATGTGGAAGTTCTATGAGAAATATATCGAGAGAAAGATAAACATGTTTGTTATATACATTTCTTAAGAATGCTATTGTGATGTTTTGATCGAAACCAAATTTTGTGAACTTGATGGAAATTTCAGAATTTGTGACAGATGGAATCTTTGTTGAAGTGACGTGCCTATCGAATGCTAACTTTTTCTGTTTGAATTTGAGGAGTTAAAAAGTATTTAAGTAGCTCCACTATCACAGCACGCCATGCTTTCATTATGTTTTACGGATTAGCCATGTCTAGGAGGCATTTTACATGATGAATATTAACACAATTCATATTAATTCCTTGCCCATTTTAATGCATATTTAATCATTAGCGTATGGAGGTTTAATCACAGGAATTCTGTGCAGTAAGTGTCTTGCAGGAGGGAAAAATAGGAGAAATTTTCTGCAAAAACAAAGATGTTCCATACCAGATGCAGTCCATCATGGAAATTCCTTTTCTCTATATACTTGAATAGTCTTTCTTGCAATCTTATGCTTCCATTGTTCCAATTTTTCTCTTATTCCATGAAGTTACTCTCTGCAGATCTCTGGGAGCCCATGTTCTGATTGATGACAACCCAAAATATGCTCTTGAGTGTGCCGAAGTCGGTATCAGGGTCCTCCTCTTTGACTATGACAATTCTTACCCATGGTCCAAGACAGGTTCAGCTACTTCTCATCCAATGGTGACCAAGGTCCATAACTGGCGACAAGTAGAACAGCAGCTGGTCTCATGGGCACTAACTGTAGTTTAGCCCCACCCAAGATTTGCAGCTTACATTCTGCTGCTTTAGTTAATATCTTACTACGGAGTGGATATACTGTAGAATACCAATGGGAGGCTCATCGGTCCCTTGCATTTTAAGCTGCGTCTTAGGATGATGATAAGAGGGTGTAATGTGTGCCCCTTGTTTGTCAACAATATGAAAAGAGAAGAACAAAGTGATTGTGGTTTTGCAATCTTTCAATAAATACCCAATCCTAGATGGAGTGATTGGACTTTACACCTTGGCATTGCACTTGGAACTGTAATGCTTTAGACATATCAACATTGGCAGACGGCAATACAATCAATTTGTTCCTTCTAGCGATGCAACAAAAGTTGCATAGGAAGAATTATGTTGATTCTGATATGAGGTAATGATATTATGGGATGAACAATTGATTCTATTGTTTCGGTTCATAAATTCCATCTATAGCAGCAGAAATGATGGAGAATATGCCACAGCATTCTGGTTATGTAAGAAATGCCCAAGAATTAACAGGGAGATCAATCAGGTCCCACACCGGGCGACAAACTGCTTCAAATGGAACACTCAGACAGTATATATGATGCACAGACCTCAGTGTTGCTTATCGATCAAAGCAACATTATTCTTAAGTTAATCTACAATGACCAAAACCTTCTGCATATGTATCCAGCCGATATGCATGGAACTGAGATTTATATATTTGCTTTAGAGAACAGGAAGGACGCAAGCATATAGAGGACTCTACTGCAGATCACCAGTTCAATTAAAGAATACCAGTCGAAATGCATGGAACTGAGATTTATATCTTTGCTTTAGAGAACTGGAAGGACGCAAGCATATAAAGGACTCTACTACGCATCTCCGACCAAATATATTAAACATCACTACACAACCCAAAAATTTCTGTACCATTCCATGTGAAAAAGTTTATGCCAGAGCTAGATTTCATCATCGAGTAATTTCTAGCTATAATTCAAAGCTGTAGGAGGGGCAAGGCCATAACACCACCAAAGACAGACACTACCAGCAGCAGTAGCCACAAGGGAAATTGCTTCCTCTGCCTTCCTTTAGGGGCATCGTGCGCGACCTTTCTGTTTTCACCTTGTTTTGCAGATTCTTCGGCCACGGTCGAAGGAGGCCTCGAGTCATCCTTTGTCTGCAGTCCTGAGATAGACTGCAGCAGAGCCTGTTGTTGCTGGTACTTCTCTACGTATTCCGGAAAAAGCTTCCTAAAGTTTGAACAATTTTTACTGTATGACACAACAAATTGCAAGTTACACGGGGAAAAGCATTACAATGAAATAGATGAACAGAAGAGGGCCTTGGTACTTCAGCGCTGTGACGATGCTAAAAGCCAATCATGCTTCTATTCTCTTCTCACAAATGATATGGAACAAACTGATATAAGGTTTTCATGCAATTAGGATGCCAAAGATAACATTATGATGTACCTTGTGAAGTTAATATAAAATAATTTCTCCAAATTCTCTATTTTTTAATTGAAAAACCATATATTCCACAAGAATGTTAGATTGCCCATAAGATAAAATGTCAGACAATCACAGGTCATCCAATAAAATAGTATATAGCACTTGTGATTAATATAGAAAACATTCACCTCTCACAATTATAAGCAAGCGAAGCCTTGGCTAGTTGTCGCTTTTCATCATCCGAAGTCTTAATGCTACCAGTGGTCTGGTGATCATCCATCTACATGCACAAAGTTGAGGACAGGCAAACTTAAAATAATGACATCTAACATGGTTATTTCAAGGTACAAGCATAGGCAGTGGCCATTGATACTCGTAGATACATACATTTAGGACATTCTGTGATCTTTTTCATGTGGCAGGCACCGAATAGCATGCATTTGTCAATGCTTTGCTCTAAATTAGCTAATGGATGCATTTTAAGTGCAAGATTACCTGTTTGGTAATTCAAATTTGCAAATGCAGGCTGACAATACATTTGCAGATCTCAAGTTGAGTGGAGGGATTGGATATAAATGTAGGTGGCAGCCTGAGATGCATTTGTATGTATGCATTTGTATGTATGCATTTTATTGTACCCAACTAGGTTGCATAACAATCTATGACGTCAATGAAGGCTGCACAAGTAAATACATGTGTTTGGGCAAATAAGAAAACTACTAGACACCCTACACTGCATCAACTTAAATAATGAATGGGAAATGCAGACTACCAGAACACCGCCTATAAGCCTATAGTATAAGAAAAATTAACATACTTCTTAGACAAAAGCCAAATAATTGTTGACTTGGGTGCTTATAAAATTGTAATATTGATCGTGTGATTTAAGTGATCAGAATTTCATGAAATTGTTCACATTATTTATTTCCATTTTTGGCTATGTGCGTTCCTCTTTCTGAGTGGTTCATTATGGAATATAAACTTTGATTCTATAATTATCTATGATTAAGAAATTAACGTTGAATATTTTGTTTTAGCACAATACATTTCAACCAGTCCAATATGACAAAAACAAACAGAATACACAGTGTTACAAGGAGCTCACCATGAACGAAAGAAGTCCTGTCAATATGCTGCATCCAAAGATAACACGCAAGCAAACATGTAAGAAAAAAAGTTGCATACCCAAAAAGATATGTTTGCTCAACAAAAAACATAAACAATCACATCATTTTTGGTAGGCAAAGTTGGGTTTGTTATGTTTCAGCAAAAACATATTCAGCAAGTATCTACGACTTAAGATCCTAGCATGAAATTCTCTCTTGCAGTGCCTTACCTTGAGACAGACCAAATAGGATTCCAGGACTCAGGATGATCTGAAATAAACAAGAGCTAAATTATGGCCCCACTTAATAGTTAACACCACATTAGACCAAAAACTCTCAAGTCTGTGAGAACTTACAGTCGCTCATAGACAAGCAGATCTTTTTATTAGTGGCAAATCGTCCATTAGGCGTTATCAGGCTGTACAAAGAGACAACATCAAGCAAATGTCACCTATTGAAGGTAGGACTACCATAGGTATCTCTGTCTGTTCACCAGTCAAACAATATGCACCATCTCATTACCTGATACTGGGAGGCTTGTATGGATAATCAGGTTGAAATTTCAGTTTCCCATAGTAATATCCACCTTTATGATGAATTATTGTGAGAATAAATAATACAAACAAAAATCTACTGGAAAAGCAAGAAACTAATAGAGGAGATCAGACTTTACTAGAAAAGATTCTGCATCTAAAAGATTAAACTGTAAAAAGGAAACAAATCAAGCAATCAAATAATGCCTCAACCCTCAAGTATAGAAACTGGCAACAGTTTCACATTTTCTATCTCAGCATATTTCCAAAACATAATATACCTGCAAATGGTGTCCCTTCACTTCCTTCAAGAACAAAATCTGAAAGAAAACAACATACAAACTATTATTTCCAATTCAAAACACCAGAATGATGTAAAATTATCGAATGAACACAAGACAGCATCATCAAAGTCTTCCTCTAACAATAAAGCAAATCTTGTTCGAGGTCAAGCATCCAAGGTTTAGCATCCATACATGGATTATGATCCCTTTTAAAGAAAACAACCAATAACAGCAACCCTTGGAAGCATTTGAGCTAGCAACAAAAAGTTAACAATATCAATAGTATTACTAAACAAAAATTTACCAGCTCAAATCTTATTGTTTCATCATAACACGAAAAATTGAGAATCCATAGCGATATATGGAGTAAGGTATGCAATACCACTTGGTATCACATGGTATGAATGGTATTTACCGGTCCGATGGGTTAGCAATACACAAACCAAGATGAACCCAGTGGTATGCCCAAAATACAGGGTCGGTACCACCCTGATATAGGGTCAGTACAACCCATACCAACTAATTTCTTTTTTTATGTTTTCAGCCTTTTTCAGGTTTTTTCGAAACTCAGAATGTACTAACATACCAGCACTCAGTACACCAATATAAACTGGTGCTATACCTGTCCAAGTCTTGATCGGCATCGTAACAGGACACAAAATTGTGCACCTTGATATGGTGTGATAACTAAGAAAAAAGATGCTACATAAATCAAACCAAATAAGATGTAGAAAGTAACTCACGCCAATCCAAAATATCACTGGGAGAAGGATGAGCCACAATCTGCGGAGGTGGTTCCTGAAATTTTAGACAGACAAAAGTTAATATTTGAGAGGTTGGAAAAGAAACTGCCTACCAAAGAGACATTAGAACAAATGAAAATTATACACAAAGAAACAAGAAAACTAAATTGATTTTCCACCAAATCAATAGAATCTGCCAACCTGGAGGTAACATTACATATATGATATTGTCTCAAGTACACGATCTTTTATAAGCTCATAAAATCAATTTCAATATAGAAGTAAATGGCCCACCTATTTAATTTCTGCATTATAAACATACTTGTCAATAGTGCAAGTCTTTAACCAAAGAAAAAGAAAGATAATGCATAATTATGCTATCATAGAAAGCAAATAACTTTCAGTCATGTAGTTTTATCATCTGATCCAAAAATTTATCAGTAACTTTAATTTGCAGGACAAGTAACACAAGCATCATACACCATAATATAGAAACAACAACATGAGTTGGAACATCTGAAGCAAACATACGGATTACCAAACCCGGACAAAACAATATGAAGTTCTTAAAACAGGATGCACTGTGATATACAACTAACAAAACAGTAACACGTAAACATAAAAATAGATTTTCTTTATCATATTTGGTGAAAAATCTCTGATTACCTTATGATTAGAATGACAAGTCATATTAACAATCTATTTAATAACAAAATACAATTCTTTTCTACTGCAAGATATTTTAAGCATTTGAAGGACATAAAACGACATGATGAAATGCAAAATAAGTTCAGGTACACAACTTAAACATAATAACCACACTTATACCATCCATATATCTGGGAAAAGGAAAATGTTCAATCGTCCATCTTCAATAGTTTAACATTGGGAAATGCCAAACACCTCCCATTTACATCCAAGAAGTTAGTTCATGAACCCAAAGCATCCTAAATTCTATTAGCAGCAGAAAATGATACCTGGGCAGAAGTATCCAATATGATCTATACATCAACCAAAAACTGCTATTACATAATCTAGACATACAGAAATATCATAAGTTCCGATTATCAAAATTTTACATGGTTCACATAATTATCAAACTTCTATGATGATAGGGAGCCTAGACTTGGCATACCTTGCAAAGATCTTGGAACTCCTTCTGAAGGCGTCTCACACATGCCTTCTCTGCCATCTGGTACAGCCCGATCCGATTGGAAAGCCAACGCCTTCAACCCTTTGCTAATTCCCAAAGGAAAAGATTCTATGCTAATTTATGCCTCTGCAATGTGACTGATATTAGATACAAATAACAAGAAATCGTTGCAGGCCATTATCACTGTCATATAGTCTTAAAAATCGCAAAGAAACCTAGCAAAAACCAAAAGTTAGAGAAGTTAAATCTTTTTAGGCATTTATTCCAATATAAAAAACATCATAATAGCAATATCAATATTGTGCTTATCTCTGGAATACCATAATCTGAAGTGCAATTTAACTATGTATCCCCAGAGATAAATTGAAAAAAAAATTCAGAAGATAAAATTTAAAAGCACAATAAGTATGTCACCGAGAGAATCAGCAATTCCACGAAGAAGGGGCCAAGATACTAACAAATTACATCTGCAAATTGGTGTTTTTGACATATATCACGTAATTACAAGGGAGAAGAATAAGAAGCCTTTGCTGATCTTTCAGCAATTGACGTTCCTTTGGTAGCACGCCACCAAACAATAGTATCTAACAAGTAAAAGACAAGGGTGGTATTTTTCACACACAGCACGGAATTCCAAGAGACGAGAAGAGGAAGCACCCTCTCGCGACTGACGTGTTTTCGATGGGAAACCCCAAAAGCAAACAGAATTCCAAGACAGGAGAGGCCGGATCAAACCGCGAGATCATAATCCCTAATTGACGCATCGAAATCAGAGAGATAAAAACCTGTGCGACGCCACGGCCGAGGCTTCGGGTGGAAGGACTTATCGCCTCCGAGTGCCGCCGGACGGTCGTCCGATGATGAGAGAGAGAAGGGGATTCGTCCTGTCCGCGTAGAGAGAGAGAGAGAGGAACTGTGCGTGTCGACGTATGAGGCAGATCGGACACAAATAAATGAATATTGTTTGAGGAGATTGTTAGCGTTTGTGGTAAACACATTTATAGCAATCTCTTTGGGTCGAATTTTGTGCTTTCTGTTAAAACAAATTTCTATTAATATTCATCATTTTTAACAATAATAAAATATAATTTTATTAAATATATACCTTTTAATTATCAATCATAATCTTTTTTTTATATAATATCTCAATTGAGTTGATGCAGAGTAATTCAAAATATGACATATTTTGAATTGTAACCTTAAAAATATTAAATCGATTTAATAAATATAAAAACTATTTTTATTTTCTTTTTTTTATATCTTTATGTCTCATTTGATTATTTATTTTTTCATCATTTGATATCACTAATGATAAAAAAAAATGCTTCATTTTAATAAGAAGAAAAATATAAATGGGAAGAAAAATGAGGGAATTAAATGATAAGTTGTTATCTTAGAAATATTAAAATTTACAAATAGCAAAAAGGAATTGCTAACAAAAATAATAACAATAATCTCAATGTTTAATGACATATTTACTCTTGCCTCATCAAATTACAATAATACCATGATAAGCACAAATATTTAAAGGAAAATACCAAAAAGCCATATTTTTTATCCTAGAAAAATTTTCATTTTGTGTTTTTAATATCATATATTTTTTTATTTATTGATTTGATTCGAGAGATTGAAGACAAGTTCAATGAATTAAGAACCAGATGAGTTCGATCGATAATTAGAAGCCGTGAGATAATTATTATTTATGGTATAAGGAAAGATGGATAAAGACATGAAAAAAATTATTAGAAACTATAAATAAAAACTTAATTAAAATATATTATTACTTTTACATATCTAAGGGATACATGTAATCGACACTGTTATTATATTGGTTCAATGACAACAATGATAAAAATAATAATAATTTTAATAATATAATAATTTATTAAAATAATTGTTGTTAGGTGAGCTGACTTGCTTGATTGGTGGTAACTTATTAAAAACTATAAATAATAATTTTTAGTTTAATTATTTTTAGTTTAATTAAATACATTACTTTTTTACATATCTCAATCAATGATGACAAAGGATTCATGTAATCGAGATGGATTAGATTAAACTTACAGTTTTATTATTATTATTATTTTTATTTATTTATTTATATATTATTATTATTATTATATCGATTCAATGATAAAATAATAAAAATATATATATTAAAAATAATTTATGAAAATAATTTGGAAGGCACAAACTAACAATCCATATTCATATGCTTGTGTTGGTAGAAGATCTTGACAGTATTGATTGAATTCTATCATTATTGTTTATATTTGCACACAAAAAAAAAACACATTTATTCTTTTTTGTTCAAATATATTGTAGGCAAATTATAAGATGAAAATAACATTAATATATTATTAGTTTCAAGAGACTCAAACTTCATGTGTAGACACATAAAGTTTGAAACATATATAGACTAAGATTTCATTTAATTATTGATGTTTTAAACTTACTGTAAGGTTAAAATACACCAATATGAGTGCAAATAATCTTCAAATTGAAATTTCTTTTTCTTTTTTGTTCTGATGACTTGTATGCATCTACTACATATGAGATGACAATAACATTCTCGGTGTATCATTAGTTTCATAATTTCCTTAAAAATATTATCATAAATATTCTATTCCTCCAAATATTGACTTAAAAAGTTATATATAGTATCTATCACACAAGTTTCAAAAAAACTTAGACCATAATGTGTTTTCATTTATTTATTAGCATTTTAATAGCTTTCCCAATAATATATTTAATTTTGAAATTAAAATAGCTTTTGTACAATCTTAATATTGATTTTTTTAAAAAATAAAAAAGTCATTTTAAATTGACTATGATCCTCTGACATTTCATAGACCCTTAATACTTCATGTAAACAATGTTTCATGAATTTTAGACTCTTTATATCATATTTTTTATTCAATTATTAATCTAGCATGGATAACTCATTTTTTTCTCTAGTAGTTATTATGCAAGCCTCAGGTCTTCAACATATTACCAATTATATATATATTTATCATAAATAGAGTGATTAACTTTCTAGAGACTTTCAACCCCTCAAAGTTCATTTTGGCCTATACTTATTATTTTATGAGTTTTAGAATATTTATATCAATTTTCTATTTGCTTATTGAGATTTTAATACCTTACTATATAATTAATGTGTCAAGATGAAAGTAAATTACTTGCAAATTAATTTATTTTGGTAATAGCTTGCATGCAATCATGAGATGAAAGTATATTTTTGACATGTGCTTGCTTCCACACAAAGCTCAGTTTTCCTTCCTTAGTATCGGATAACGGTAGCAGTTTGGGATCTTAGAACCGACCTCTACCTGTGAGGAATCAACAAGAAAGTCAAACAGCAGAGAGCAGAGGCCAAACTCCCATTAACGACGCAATCATCAACTTTAGAATCAATCGACATCAGAATCTTCAATTATAATTCATACGTCAAAATGGAAGGCGTTTTGTTGTTATTTGAATAAATCACTTCTTTTATTTATATCCTCTTATCTTCTATTTATTTCGTATTTAAATTATTTTTAAGCATTTTTTTATTTTTCAATAAAAAGATAAAAATGATGAAAACGAGATTTATTTATTTATGGTTAGATTATTTATTTATTTGAAAACGAGATTCGAAAGTCATATATATATATATATATATATATATATATATATCTGCGTAGCTATAGCGTTTGACCGTCTTCGGATCATAAGCACCACAAATCACGTTGATTACTGCGCACGCGAGTCAAAGCGGTGAGCGAATTGGTCGAGACTACGGACATCAGGCCCGGGGAGGAGGGATCGGGCGCGCTCCGCCGGCCCATCGCGTCGCACGCAGAGACGCCTCGATTCACGCCGCGTGCTCTCTCGGCCGGGCCGGAGCGCGACGGATTAAACCGGCCGCAGCAGCGACAGGGGAGAGAGAGAGAGAGGGAGAGGAGAGAGAGAGAGAGAGAGAGAGGCGAAAAAGGGGAGAAGTGGAAATCGAAGCGGGGAGGGAGTCGAAGCTGCGAATCTTCTCCCGACGCTGCCCGCACGATCAGCGAGGAAGAAGCGAGGAGGAGGACGAGAGGCCGCGCCGGCCTGCTTGGATTGGGTACTGTCTTGCAGAATCGGAGGGCAAGCAGGGGTGGTCCCCTGAATCCGATTCCGCCTCTTCACCTGTTGCCCCCAATCCCGGAAGCGCGGGATCTCCGATTGGTGAGCCGGACATTCGAAATCGAACCCTCGAGGCCCGCCTCCCGCGCTCGAACGCGCTCTGGGTCTCCCGTAGGTTAGTTTGCTAGACTTGCTGCTTCTTTCAGTCCCTGTTTCCTCGCGATCAGGGATGATGACGGTCGTTTCTGGGTTGGCTAGGGTTTGAGTCCGTTCTTGGAGTTCCGGTATTTTGTCCTCTTTGGCATCTAATCTCATCGCAAAATGCGGGAACATGATCAGCTTGAGATTGTTTTTGGTGGGTCATATCACATAAGGACTTCATCGTGTCCGGCAGCTTACTGCTTGTTGCTTCTTTTACTAACATGATTTTCACTCTTCGTGACTAAATTTATCTCCTTCTGTTGTTGTGGGTGTAGAATTGGGGGAGTTCTGATTAATTTCCTGGTTGAACAACATGATTTCGGTTTCTATTAGCTGCAGGTGGACTAAGGATACCTATTAAGAAGAAGAATAAGAAAAGCCGGTGCTCTTGATTTCTTTCACCGTGTGTATATATATTTTTAATTCTTGCATTCCTTTTGATTCGAGGGTTCTTTATGTAAGTTTTGGATGTTGATTGGTCCATTTGTAGCAGGAGCTATGGCACGAGCAAAAATGTAGTGGGCGGTTTTTGTTGTTCCTCCTTATCTCATTTTAGGATTGGCACTAGAGTGTTTGACTGCTCGGCACACATCGTACCTTTGCATGAAGAGGGAGGAGGACCATGAATGCAAATACTCATATATCTGGACAGATGTCTTCTCAAGCTAGCACGCAAATGTCTGGTCTGCCCCAGCAGATCAGCAATTCAGTGACGTCCCAGATGCAGAATCTTGATCCTCGAACTATGGATCCTGAACTTATTCAAGTCCGGAGAACTATGCGCCAGAAGATGTAAGATAGTTGTTTTATCACCTTGACATTTATCACTTCCTATTGAACTTATAATGAGCACGCCTTCTTGGCCAGAGTTGTTTATTAACCTGGGTAACTAAGGTGATTAATGCATCTTATACATGTTTAACTTGCCACGGATTTAAGATAAAGCACTTAATCATTTTGTCATTGGAAGTGTCCCATTTATGTTGTCAGAACTTCTGTAACATTTCAGCAGATTGACATCAAAAAATAGCACAGGGTGTACATGGTATTTGCAAGCAATTGTAAACATCAATAGTATCTATTGACTGCTATCTGGATGTTTAAATCCAACAATTTGAATTTCATATGATGTGGACTAAAATGACCTCGAAGGATGTGATTCCAACTCTGGAGCTAGATCAAATGGGATCATTACTTTTAGTTCATGATGAATCTTTTAGTGTAAGGTCCTAACTGGTTATGTTTACATGTTAACTAATGTATTTTATTATTTTTTTAAGCTTTTGCCACAAGTTAGAATGTGATATTTATCATATTCAAGATTTGTAAGACTCTAAACTGTTTATGATATGGCCTTTATTCTTTTATAACAAACCATACTAGGTGATAGTTGCAACTGTGTTAATGCAAGGAAGGACAAAAAATGAAACTTGTAAATGTACAAGTCATAGAACCACACTATGCATATCTATGATCACATCAAGACACCATCACCTGCATGTTATTGGAGGTTTAAACTTTTTTGCTATGGTTCTCTTCACTTTTTAATTTGTAGCCACCACCTCAGCAATTTCTTATCACCTGTATACAAAGACGGGCTGCTCTTCAAAATTTATGGAGATAATCATTAAATATTTGAAGAACTAAAGATTCTTAAGATGCACCTTTTTAAATTAGAGCAAAGGCCATGTAGTAATTTGTAATGAAATTTACAACATCATATTTGCCACTTCATCTGTAAAAATATATATTCTTGATCATGATGAATGTGTTTCTTTCAGCAATAAGAACTTTTCTAGTTTAGATTCTTTTAAAGATGGATTGTGGTTCTTTGACTTTCAGATAAGAACTAGGTTGGTCTTTCCTTTTGTGGATAAGATATGTCTTTAAAAATCCAAGCACAGACAGTGGAGTTTGTGAAAAATGGTTTGTTATAATCTTGTAGTGATATCATAATTTTTTTTTTCTGGATTGATGGTTCATTAAATGAAAGAGTTCATTGTATGCTGCTACCTTCTTGCACTTGAATGTATTTGTCCGCTTCCTTGAGCGCTTATGTCTGTTTGAAACCATGTGAGCGAGAGAGCCTTGTGTGTGCATCTGGCAATTTTTTTGCAATTTTGGCTGCACTATCATATGTTTTTGAGGCCTGTTATTTTAAGTATTAATTCTCCTCAAATTACATAAAATTTAGAAAATCGTTGTACTGATAAGAGAAGATATGTGGTTCTAAATGTGTATTTTTTTAGTTTTGAAACTTCTGCTTGTACCCTTTCTATTTCTGTGTCATATTGACTGGAACTTAACAAGACTATATGCTTTTAGATATTGAGTCGATCCATTTTAATATAATTTTCATCAATTCAATTTGTTTTCAATAGATGGAACCAACTATATCTGGTGTATGTGTTGTATCGGGGCTTGTGGATCATTCATCTGAATTCTTCCTAGAATCAGAAAACATGTTTATTAATCTTTTAGAAGCACTGAAGCATAAAGTAATTGTAGAACCTTTCTGTAATACTGTAGAATATCTAAAGCTCTCTTAGTGTAATATATTATGACTAGTTTGAAATGTTCCATTGTTTGCAGTTACAATATACTTCAAAGAAGAAATCATAGTGGTTCCAGTGACTGGCTGCATAAGATACAGGAAATAGTAATGCGTTTGGAGCAACGAATGTTCAGAGATGGTGTGACAAGGGTATTGTTTTTTGCTTCACAAAAGATCTTTTCTTCAATCAGTGTACCATTCAATGTCCCACAAGGGTTTCAGTTTAAGATGTTCGTCTATGTTTGCAGTTTTTCTAGTTGTTGGATTCCATTTATTGTCTTTATGCTTAAAGGGCTAACAGTTGTTGAGGGAACTTTACATTTTTACTCTTTTTATTCCTATGTTAATTCTTGGATGGTCTCTAAATCCTGTATTTTGATCAGGATGAATATTTGAATTTGGTCTCGGAGCCAGATGAAAATCGCTTTTTCTCAGTAATAAAGAATATCATTAGCAACAGACAACACACATCACATCAAATTAGATCTTCTTCTACCCTTGGAACAATGATACCGACGCCTGGTATACCACACAGTGGCAGCACTCATTCTATAATATCTCATTTGGTGGAAAACCCAACGGCCAGTGGTTCTAGTATGGGGTGTCTAGCCGCAACAAACATGCGAAGTTTACAACCAACTGCCAATGGTCAAGCTGATGTCAATGCTTCATTTAATGCTGCAGATGGTAAGTTAATTTGTATACCTCCTTCCAATTATGATTTTTTTTGCCTCTTCTTGTCAGTGATGGTGATGGATCTATTTTGCTCTCCAGTTTGCAATGGTTATCAGCAGCAAGCTACCAATTTTTCTCTTGGTTCAGGTGGAAGTATTATGATGCCCTCAATAAGTTCTGCCAGCATACCAGGACAATCCAGTCAGATGATTCCAACCCCAGGATTCATTAATCCACATTCAGTATCAGTCAACACTGAATCTTCTAATGCAACTGCTTTTTCAAGCTGTGAGTCTACCATACCTTCACAGACACAGCAACCAAAAAAGTTTGTTGGAAACCAGAACAGCCATGTAGCACATAGTTTCAGAGGACAAATTGATGCTGGATTTAGGTCCAATATTCAGCAGAAGGCTGCCTCCCATGGATTGTCCAATGGAATCATGAATGGTGGTTTGGGGTCAATTGGAAGTAACATGCAGCTAAATAGGCTGGCAGTGTCAGAGGGGTTACTGAAGACGGTGCCTTGCAGTGGTCTTTCTAAGCCTACACAGCAGGCTAACCAACCAAGAATGCCAAGTAATGTTGTCGATGCCCTGCTTTCTATCAAGGCTTTTTCCGCTTCAGAAATATTTTCAGTTTATTTCATTTTGTCTATTCGCTTATATATCTCATCAGGAAAAAACCTATTACTGACCCAAAAGCCAAGGACCCAACCATTGATGTGATTCAACAGCCTCTAGAAGTGCCCCAGTGCAAGAAACTGTGAGATTTTAAATCCATGTACCTATCCATCAAGTGGTGCACAAGTTAAATGATATAATAAAATTTACAAACTTCACTTTTGGATGTGTTAATGGATGGGCAAATGAACTTCAAATTTTATGTTTCTCATATATGAAGGTACTTTGGAGTATTTATATCAACTTTAATAGTGTGAATATTTAATTTTGATTTCCTTATAAGGATTCTGGAGTTATTTTCATGTAGACTTCTGATATTTGTAGTTTTATATGCTTGCTAATATACTGCATCTGCTACGTTCAATTTAGTATATTATTATAAATTTATAGAACAGTGCTTAAATTTGTACAGTGTCATCATCTGAGCAAGTGTTGCCTGTGGGAGGGGGTGGATATGCAATGAAGGCAGTTGATGTATCAGGTTCGGATATCTTTTGTGGCCCTAGTGCATCTGTTTTATCTGCCATGAATAACCTCAATGCTGGAAACTCGCACTCAAATTTGAGAACAAATTCAAGCCTGCAGTATGCACAAATAAGGTCCCATACAATTGATTCCTCACTTGCGTCACAGTTAACAAATGAGCATTTACCACAATCTCAACCACCAGTGCAGCAATCACAACAACAACCTAATCAGCCTTATTCACAGTTCATTCAAAATCAATGTCCGTTACAGCATCAGCAACAACATCAGCAGAACCAACTTATGTTAAAACATGATTCATTGAGACAGACTTCAGTAAATTCTTTTGATGAGCAGCTAATGGCAGGGCCTGCGCTTGTAACCCAATCCGAGTCACAAGCTTCACAGCGGATCCAACTTCCAGAATTACAATCTCAGTGTCATGAAGGTCAAGCTAAAATCGCTCAATTTCTCAACCATTTATCTGGTTCTCAAGCTCTTCATGTCCCAGTTTCACAGGGTTCACATCAGGTGATGCATCCAAATCAACTGGCTAATGAGTTTGCAAATGAGGTCAACTACCTCTTCAGTGGATCACAAGGGGAGGAACACCTTCGGGTTCAGCACCAAATTCAACCACTCCAAAAAGCACAAATGACAGATAAGCTTTCAAATGAAGAACAACCTCTGGAACTTTGTCAGAAAACAATAGGGCAAGATGAAGTTCAACAATCTCACGTCTCCCTTGAGAGATGTATCACTGGTTCTTTTGCTATTGCACCACAGTTTTCTAGAGGACTGACTTGTGGACCTGAGCAACCTATAAATAAACAAAACTATGTGAGGCAAATTAGGTGGTTGTTGTTTCTGCACCATGCTCGTTGGTGTCCTGCACCAAAGGGTCAATGTCAAGAAATTAATTGCACAATAGTTCAAGAGTTGGTAATTCATATGCGCAGCTGCAATAGTGAGCCTTGTGGATATGCACGATGTTCAGCTTCTAAGGGGCTTCTTCGCCATTTCCGTAATTGCCGAGCAGTTGATTGCCCTGTCTGTGTTTCTGTTCGTAATTATATGGCAGCATCTCGTAAAAGTGCTCATGCTTTGTCTAATGCTGGTTCAGGGAGCCAGACAGAGGCGAACACTAGTAAATCCAAGACTGACATAGTGCTTGTTGAAACCTCAAATAAACAATCTGTGCCTAAGCGCATGAAGATTGAACATTTACCTCTTCTTGTTCCCAAAAACGAAACATCTCCAGTCTCACTTATTTCTAGAGACCAGCCCTATGACTCCCATGAAGCACAACTTCAGAACTGTAAACAAACTGACATGAACATGTCTGCTAAATGTGAGACAGTTGATGCAAAGGATGATCAATGTGTCATCTCTGGACAAGAAAACTTGCCAATTGTTGGCACGGGCTTCAGTGGAAATGTAAATACAAAAATTGATATGGATTATGGTGCCTCTGACTGCATTGATTGTCATGTCAAGCAAGAAAATATGAAGCAAGAAAATATGATGGCTAAAGAAGAGATGGATCAGGTAAGAATTGAGATTAAACACGGAAAAAGTGACCAGCCAACTGATCAAGCAACTGGAAGTAAATCAGGGAAACCAAAAATTAAAGGTGTTTCATTAATGGAGCTGTTCACTCCGGAGCAAATCAGGGAGCATATTGTTAGTTTGAGGCAATGGGTTGGTCAGGTTAGCTTTCTGACATATAAAACATTATGCTATTATAAGCTTTATAATGATTTAAGAAAATTTCTATAACCTTTTTGGTTAGAAATCCCATATTACAAAAATATGATGATCTATTTTTTTTTCTTTTCTAGCTATGATCTAGCTCTTTTTCTCCTTTTCTTTGTTAGATATCTAATATGAATTATATAATAAATAGATTTTTTGTCTATACTTACAATTCTTGTATTTGTATTATATGCATAATTTTCCTTGGATGCTTGATTGGCTTTACACTTTTGCTTGGGATTTTGAGTCTGTATTGGTTGGTGGACTAAAATGTCTACAGAAAAACCATGTTTGACCGATATGCTACTGTGAATATTGTTTAGTGGTCAAGAGAATAATTGGAATTTGGAATTGGCTTGTGATTTCATTATTACTCTAATTGGTTGTGTTTCAAGTGAAAGATTCTATCTGGTAGCAAGCCTTTTCATTAAAAATTAATTCTCAATTCCATTTTGATTTGTAGAAGAAAATTTTCAATACTTGATGTCAGTTTTATAATTGGGAGTCGGGACAACAAATATTGTAAGTTTTAAATAAAGGAGTGAAAGAAATGGGTGAAAAAGTGTGATGGCCGGAAGATGGAGGTTGGTAGGAGGCATGAAATATCCAAAAGAGGGAGATAAATGATTTATTGGTTCTTCGAAAGGATCCTTCTGCCCAAGAACCATCACATGCATTTTTTTACGTATAATTTTTCAATTTCTCAATAGATGAAGAAATTATTTTTATAAATTATTTAATGAATATTCCACATAAGACTTAGCTTTAATGATAAATAATAGTGGTAGATTGAATAATCATAAATTTCTTCATAAAATTAGAGCTAGTGAAGTAAAAGGCATTTTTAATAAGATGAAAATAGCTAAAGAGTGTGAGTTTTGATGGTATCCCTATTGATGTTTGAAAAAGTTTAGGGGACAAAGGAGTAGCTTAGTTAACTAGTTTATTTAATAAAATTATGAGATTTAGAAAGATGTCTAATGAACGGAGAAAGTTTTTATTGTCAATTTCCAAGAACAAGGGTGATATACAAAATTGTTTTAGTTATAAATGAATTAAAATCATGAGCCATATTATGAAATTTTAAGAAAGAGTTATCGAAAGTAGGATAAGGCTTGAAACAAATATATTTGAAAATTAATTTGATTTTATACTTGGAAGATCAACCATAGAAGTTATTTATTTATTAAAACAAGTATATGGCGAAAAAAAAAGATTTGTATATGGTTTTTATTGACTTAAAGAAAGCTTATGATAGAATTCTTACAGATTTATTATGGTGAGTTTTAAAAAGAAAGATGTATCCACTAATTATATTGATGATTATTAAAGATATATATGATAATATAGCTACTAGTGTTAAAAACTATAGGGAGTGTGTCTAGTGAATTTTCTATTAGCATAGAATTACATCAATGATTCGTATTAAGTTCGTACTTTTTCATATTGATAATAGATGAATTTATTAATTATTTACATGATAGACCCTTTGATGTATGTTATTTGCTGATAATATTGTCTTAGCTGATGAAAGACTAAGTAAACTTAATTATAAACTAAATGTTTTAAACTTAGTAGGACTAAGACTGTATATATGAGATGCAATTTTAGTAATACTAGGAATAGATAGGAGAATATAGTTAAGTTGGATAGACAAGAAGTTAATTTAAGTAAAAGCTTTAGATATCTTGGATCAATTATTCAACAAGATGGAGAGATTGATGAATATATTATATATATATTTATATATATATTTATATATATATATATAGTAAAAATATGATAGTTAAAATGACGAAGGACGTCAGGAGTCTTATGTGATCATCGGGTGTGTTTGAGATTAAAAGAAAAATTTTATAAGATAGTTGTGAGACCAACAATGCTTTATGAAAAGTATTTGAAAGTTAAGAAGCAACATATACAAAGAATTTGTGTTATTGAGATGGATGTGTGGAGCTCCTAGGAAAGATGAGAAAAAAAATATTTTTATTTACAAACAACTAGGAACCTTTTCGATAAAGAATAAGATAAAAAAAAATCGTTTAAAATGATATGAACATGTGCTTAGGAGACATACAGATGGGATAGTTAGTAGAGGTGAAATGATTAATATTAGTGGTATGAGGAGAGATAGAGAAAGACCTAAAAAGCACTTTATGGAAACTATAAATAAAGATTTAAATACTCTAAAGTTAATTAAACATATGATTTTTTATAGATCTTAATAGCGGCAAGAGCTTTATGTAGCCGACTCCAAATAGTTGGGACTTACAGTTTTGTTGTTGTTGAGCTAATACCAGTTTCTATAAGAGTCTAACAAGATTCTTTATTAGCCTCCAAACAACTAACACTAGAAGATAGATTACGGGTAAGAAGTTCCAATTAATCTATAACAATGATTGCCTTGACTTGCTTCAGTTTAAGACTATCTCACACTGCATCTATGCAACTAAATCTTAGCTTATTAGGCAATTGGTTAGCCTATTTTTCAATTTTAATTTGGACTTGGGAGTTATATATAAGGGAATAAATTATGAAGTTACTATGCATTATACTGCTGTGGTGATGCTACCTTTGCCTATTGACACTGCTAAGAATGGGAAATGAGCCGGCTGATGTGGTAGCAGCCATGTATCAGATGATTGTATCTCAATTGACCACTGAGCCAAGCAGTTAAATGGAGGGCTGGAATCTCTATGTTTCTACAAATAGAAACACTCGTCACCAGAGTGGTCTCTGATGGGGGTCCGTTCATGCCCAAGCAGCCAAATGGTGATGAGAGTTTAAGGAAGAAAAAATGGTATCAACACAGTGGGTTTTGGCTTATGAGTGCTTGGTGGCAGGGTTTTCGTCTTTTCTTAAGTGAATTGCTTACTGGGAGAATGTCGATTGAGTGATTTCATCCCAATTGCATTTGGATCTCAGTGTGAAACTCATATTTTTTGCAATATTCGTTCTGTCAAGAAAAGACTTCAGAGTTTTCATCAGTGTAAAGCCTTCACATTGACCCTTCCCTCTACAAGAAATGTTTTCTATTTTGTGTCATTATTCTTGTTATTTTTCAGAAAGAGTCAAAAAATATTTTTTATAATGTTCAATGTCTTACTCTTTCCTGTTGTGGCTTTCTCATTCTTGTACCATAACTTGCTGAGTTGATTCATTCTTAAACTTTTGGATCACTGAATATGAAGACTCATCATGGAGCTAGTGACTTCGTTACTGAATAGTTGACACCTTATTTGTACTTGCTCTCACACAAATAAGAATCATGAGATTGCTTACTCATTTTGTGATAGAGGCTTAAATTTTTAAACTAGATTTTCTGTTATATCCACTTGAATAAAGAATAAGAGATGAAATTCATTATTTATTTTCATTATATACGATTTATAATTAAATTTAAAACCAAAAGCATCCATGTCCTTGATTGATTTTAGAAAAAAACTAATATAATCTATATGGGGTCAGCTACAAGTTCTTTTTCCTGTCATTGAAGACTATGTAGGGCAACATTCCCAGATAAGGCAGTTAAAGCTCTTTTCCTATATATAATAAGGTTTTCATAGGTTTTCTTTTTTTCTCGCACCATTAATCCTAGCAGAATCATCTCATCAAATCATGACCCCGAGCAACTGTAGGTCTATTTAAAATGTCCATGCCATCTTAAGCAGGTCTCACCCATTTTATTTTTTGGAATATTTTAATTTTTTTTTCTAGTATACCACCTATTTATCTCAAGGTTCTTATCTTATACTAACTTTTTGTACATGTTTTCTAATTGCTCGAGATTCTGATCTACCGAACATGAGTAGTCTTACAAGTTACAACTACCTTATTAAAACTTCCTTTTTATTTAAGGGGTATAAGATGATCACACAAAATTTCTTTACAACACCCAACTTTTGCTTTATGAAATATATCTTCATCAGTCTCTCATTCTTTTCGAGCAATAGGTCCTAGATGTATAAAACTTTTACATGTAAGAACTTCTTGGCCATCTATGTAAATTACCTTCCTAACTTTTTTTCCAAGCATGCTAAAATTGTCTCATATTTTTAGTCCTACTCTTAGTATAAAATGTTTAGTTTCTCACATTTATTTCTATAAGTTATATTGAAATTAGTTCCAGCTGATCTCTCTTTAAGGAAAACAAAATATCATCAACAAACTACATTCATCATAAAGGTCTATTCTATATAGGTGGAGTAAGTCCTTTTTTACCAGTGAAGGTCAGAACTTAAAACTGATCTTTATATCAACTGTATGTTTATGAAACTTTCTAGGTGCTTTACCTACAGTCCTAGAACTGGTGATTACTCTGTCTTTTATTACGTGACTCTCCTTTTGATTCATCCCAAGTTTTAAAATCTATAAATATCATGCACACATTTTTTTCTTATCTTTATATTTTTCCATTTACCAATTAAACAAATCGACATACTATGAATTCTCAGAAGCTTTCTCTGTTTTCTTAGTTATGTTGGCATATCTATGGTCGTTGTTTTTTTCTTGTGTGAGGTGATATAAGAAGCATTAGTGTTGCTTATTTTGTTGGCCTTCTTTTTATACTTGCAGAGTAAGGCCAAAGCTGAAAAGAATCAAGCAAGGGAACATTCAATGAGTGAGAACTCATGCCAGCTTTGTGCAGTAGAAAAACTTACCTTCGATCCACCCCCAATATATTGTTCCATATGTGGTGCAAGGATAAAGCGGAATGCTACATACTATACACTTGGAAGTGGTGAGACCCGACACTACTTCTGTGTTCCATGCTATAATGAGGCTCGTGGTGAGACTATAGAAGTTGAAGGTTCTACATTTCAGAAGACAAAGCTTGAAAAGAAGAAAAATGATGAGGAAACAGAAGAATGGGTAAAATTTTCCTATAAATCTTTTTTCTTGTTTATTTTTTTTAGATGTGTTACTTTGATTTATTTTTATCTTTTTGGGAATTGTTAGTTTGGCTTGGTTGATGGTTTTAAAAAGCTAAAATGCTTTTTGTTTATATTTCATGCAGTGGGTGCAATGTGATAAATGTGAAGTTTGGCAACATCAAATATGCGCTCTCTTTAATGGTCGAAGAAATGAGGGTGGGCAGGCTGAATACACTTGCCCTAATTGCTGTGTAAAAGAGATAGACAGAGGTGAGTGGAAGCCCTTACCTCAAAGTGCTGTTTTAGGTGCAAAAGATATGCCAAGAACAATCCTCAGTGATCACATAGAACAGAGGCTCTTTAAGCGGCTCAAGCTAGAGAGAATGGAGAGAGCTCGACAGCTTGGCAAAAACTTAGAGGAGGTTATTCTGATAACTTATGCATATTCTCCTGTTCTTCAGTTGTTTACTAAATTATATTCAGTCTGGAGAAGCCTGAAAGAGATACTAGGAACTGGAATTTACTTCCAAGTCAAAATTTAAATGGTAGAGACAGCTCATAAAAATTTCAAACACACATCAGTTGGATCAGAAGTCTTATGCAAACATGTTTTTACTGCCACAAAATTCTTGCCTCACAAATTTAATCCATCAAGAAAACTAGCTTTTCAAATTGAGTTCCACAAGTGAAAGTAATTCTCCTTCAGGGCTAGAATTTGAATTGTAACTTCTAAAATAGTAAGGATGCTTTCTGTTTACTAAACAAGAGACTTTTTAGGTCAGTGCAAGGTTGTACACTAGAACATGTCAACACATCCTCTAAGTCTAGATTGGCTATTTCATTTTTTGGTCAAGTTTTTTTGTTAGCCAGTTGGACCTATGCCTTCATGACTCAGCCTACAGCTCTTTGTGTTAAGAATGAAATTCACTGGTTTTAAAACTGATGAAAGCCTGCTTGTGTTTTGATTTTTTATGTTCAATCTTTTAATTCCATATTGGTTCAAATTAATCATTGTTTCTTTTGTTTTGTTTTCATGAACCAACCAAAATGTATTCAGTATGCTATGTCGAAGTGTAGATAACATGTCCACTGCCGTTCTCTGGCAGCTTGAACAAATATCAAGCAAATTTAACTTCAAGGAACTCATAATCTAGAAATTTATTCTAAATAAAAATGTGTCTCATGATCAATATGCAAAGTTGGAACTGCAAACTAATTCAAACTGCAGTTGCTCTTCAGGAAGTACCATAGCGTCATAACATCCTTATCTGGTCTACAACTATGAAGTACTGTAATAGACACTGATGAGATCTTTTCACTGTCAATCTGTTTTGAACTATTTGCCTTGAGGAACCTCGATGCTATTTCGTTGGATATAACTGATTTAGCTGTGCTGATTGATACATATTTGAATTCTTGCTACATCAGGTTATCTGCCATTACAATTTTGGTGATAATTGGACATTCTATATGCTATTACAAGCTGATCACCAGAGGACACTGGTGTATACAAGCACATGATCATTATGCTATTTTACTTACTAAAAGGAAATATGTTATATCGCTAGAGCTGTAGGTACTTTAAGCTGGTTCCCTAGGTCTCCTTTCTTTAGGTGATGGTTCGCAGTTCATACACCCTAACCAATCAGCTGTAGCTTATTTGACTGATTCTTTTTGTATCTTGCATCTTGTGGGAAGAATAATATGTCATTGGTGCAACTTTTTGGCCTTCAACATTATCGAGGCAATCAAAGCATAATGGGGCTTTCGTTTTTTGCCTTTTGTCAGTCATTAGCAGAAAATCTGAGGTTTCTTTTATATTATCATAAGATATGTACTTAGTAGCTAACTTGCTTCAGCTACAACTTGAAAATTTGAGCCTTCTTTGAAACTTAGAACATATTTAAAGGAGTCCTATTCTGTTCTTACTAGTCAATTTCATTCTCCTAGATTGCTTAGGTTAGATGCTTATTCCTATGTGTTTCCAAAGGAACTTGCTACTTAACACTTTAGTAATCTTTTTCTTACCTTATTGACTGCTGGTCAGTTTTTTGACTGAGTTTCTTTGCAGGGATTTTTTTTTGTCTGATATGTAATTTTTTTGCTCTCATAGAAGCTTAAATTATTTTTAGATTTTAACTTTTCTTGTGGAATTTGCAGAAACTGTTGTTTTGACATTAAATAAATCATAGTTAAATTCATGGTGCTAAGTTATATCCCACACTGCAAATTTTGCCAAGGTCAAATGCCTTTGCGACTAGGAAAATCAGTTTAGGCATCAGGAGATTTGTGATCCAGTGATCAGAATAGATATTGTTATGAGCACAATATTATATGAATAATAAACTTGTAGAAGATCAATAAAAAAATTAGTTAATTTGAGAATTTAGTTTGTAACTAATTTTTTGGTTTGGAATTATATGTTGTTGCTCCATATACTTGGTAAGACTTTTTATATACCTTCTGCAGTTAACATTTTTTTGAGTGATGACTGGCACTATAGTAATCTGGTCCTTTTTAGAAGGAAAGTAATCTAGTTTTCATGTTCCACAATTTGAAGGCTTCTCAAGTCAAAGATCCAGTAATTATTACCTAGAGCTATGCTACCTCTCTTGAAGTGAGAGCCCCTTTTTGGAAAATGGGTGCAAATTGCTATACCATGATTAGAACGTTCAAACTATACCATCAACATTTATACAATTTTTTTTACTTTTAACCCATTTTAGAGTATGTATTTTGCTTTCGATTGTTGTTATGACTTTATATAGGATGCAGTAAAATACTTAGATTTTTTTTCTGGAATTATTGGTATAGGTAAGCTCTGCTGGCAGATTCATGTTTGCTTGGTTCTGTGGTTTTCCCAGTTATTTATTAAGATGGAACTTTTAGTTGATTTTTAGGCTTTGTTCATAAACATATCCACTTAATTCTGAATGTTATGCAACTACTTATGTTGATATGCTAGATTATACAATTGACAACTAAATCTTTATGAACATGTTAAGCATGTCCTAGTTTGACTATAGATGATCTATTTGTTAACTTGTTTATCCTGATGGAACTTGGTTTCTACTCCTCTTTCAGTATATTTTACGTACGTATGGTGACAACAATGGTCCCCAATTTTAATTTATTTTTTCTGCTGATTTGGTTACTTTAAAAGTCAATACTAATTCATAATTAATTTCAGGTGCCAGGGGCAGAAGGACTTGTAGTCAGAGTTGTATCATCTGTTGACAAAAAGCTGGAAGTGAAGCAGCGTTTTTTAGAGATATTTCAGGAGGAAAATTACCCAAAGGAATTTCCATATAAATCCAAGGTAAAAGTTAAATACTATCAGAAATTAGCATAAGCTATTATATATTTTTATTTTTATTGTCATGTAACAATAGAAGTTGGAGCAAAAATCAGTGATTGCAAAAGGCGCTCGGGCGCTCGCCTAGGCGCTCGGGCGAGGCGAGGCGAGGCCCGAGCGCCTCGCTAATGTCCCAGGCGGCGCGCTTCAAACAGGCGCCGCCTGGGCGCTCGCCCGAGCGCCTGGGTAAACCAAGGCGACCGAACCAGAATTTTAGGTCTGGTTCGGTTGTTAGTTGGTTCAATCGAACCAACTAAACCGATATAACCCCAACCCTAACCCTAACCCTAACCC